TTCCTTTCTATGGATCTTTTGTCTCATCACTGAGGAGGCCTGGAGACTTGGCAGAGTTAGCAGAGCAGTCCCTGTCACAATGCAGTGATGCCAGCTGACACCATCCTGCTAAAGACCTCTGGACAGAGAAGATGGTCCTGATGCTTGGCAGTGATCTATAGAAGACCTTCTGTATAGAAGGGAAGTGAACCAGGAACCCAGAACAGCTGGCTTGAGCCTTGAGCACCCTTGTTGGCTGATGCCTTCTTGGGGTTCTCAAAAACTAAAGTGATGGGAATGTGTAGGATCTAGGGTGCCAAGTCCTGGTGCTCCTGATGAAGGCCTAGTTCTTTCAATTGACTCTAATTCCTACCTGTGAGGGTATTGTCTGCACTCAATCATTTCTTCTGCCTAGTTTATCAACTGTGGTGTGTTGATGAGTCCACCTGTGGGGTTCCCAGCCTCAGCCCTGGTCAGGTGTACTACTAGAGGTCAGCAGGAGAGGGGTTCTCTCTGTTGGAAGAATGCTGCTGGCTTTCTCCACTGGCCTGTGTGGAGCAGCATGGAGCACACAGACAAAGAGCACACTGATGGGCCTGGTACTGATACAGTCAGCACTGTTACAGTAAGCAGCTATTACCACCTGGCAGGGCCACTTTCCAGGGTTTAGCACCATGACAGGAAATGTTAAACTGATTAGGGACTTTGCCATCCTGCCAAAGCATGTCTGGGGAAGTCACCGCCAGAGGTTGATGAGCCAGACATATATGTGCAGCACTGAGAGGTTGGTCTGTCCAGAAAGCTCAGCTTCTGAATTGAGGGGCAGGGCTTGTAGCAGTGCAAATACAGCCAGTCCCAGAGGATCTTCAAAGACCCCTTGGGCACATTCTCCCTGCACTTCCTTTTGCCAGCCAGGGAGAGAAGGCTTTGGTCCCCACCCAGATCATGTCTGACATGGTGTCTAGGAGCTAGACAGGACCTTGGATGAGCTTTTCTTGATGGCTTTCAGACTCACTTGGCCTCATCTGGGCATTCTGGGTGGGACAGGGGAACTGGGGTTGCACACAGCATATCGACCAGGCCTGACAGCTCACAGGTCTAACCTCCTTAACTTTTTTTTAATATTTATTTTTTAGTTGTAGTTGGACATAATACCTTTTTATTTTATTTATTTATTTTTATGTGATGCTGAGGATTGAACCCAGGGTCTTGGACATGCTAGGTGAGTGCTCTACCATTGAGTGACAACCCCAGCCCTAACCTCCTGAGCTTTGAGAGAATACATCCATGCTGTTTTAACCCATTAAGTGAGTGTGGTAAATTGTCTGCACTCAATCATTTCTTCTGCCTTGTTTATCAAGTACTTAAAGTCTGAATGTCTGGCTTTCTATAATTAGATTTTGGGCTGTTGAAGGAAAAAAATATTATTATTTACATTTTTTTTTGTTTTGAGTATTTCTTTTATTTCTGTGCCCCCAACCCAGTATTGGGAATTGAACCCAGGGGTGCTTTACCACTAAGCTTCATTCTTAGCCCCTTTTAAAAAATGTTTTGTTTTGAAACAGGGGCTCATCAAGGTGCTAAGGCTGGCCTCAAACTTACAATCCTCTTGCCTCAGCCTCCTAACTTGCTGAGATTACAGGCATATGCCATGATGTCCAGCTTTTTTTATGTACTTCTTAGTAACCAGAAAATTGCATACACATATATAATCACCTCTAAATAAGTATGCAACTTAATGCAATAGCATTTTACTTTTTAATTTTTTCTCCTCTTTTTAAAATTTTTTCTTTTAGATATACATGATGGTAGATGTATTTTGACATATTTTACTTACATGGAGTACATCTTATACTAATCAGAATCCCATTTTTGTGGGTTATACATGATATGGAGTTTCACTGGTCATGTATTCATTTATGCACATGGGAAAGTCATGTCCAATTCATTCTACTGTCTTTTCTATTCTTATCCCCGCCTTCCTTTCATTCTCCTTTGTATAATCCACTGAACTTTCATAGCTGCTCCCATTGTTAGATCTGCATATTAGAGAAAACACTTGACTTTTGGTTTTTTAGAACTGGCTTTATTTTACTTAGCATGATAGTCTACAGAGCCATCCATTTACCACCATTTCATTCTTCTGAGAATATTCCATTGTGTATGTATACTACATTTCCTTTATCCATTCATCTGTTGAAGGATAGGTTGGTTCATAGCCTAGCTGTTGTAAATTGAGCTGCTATAAACAGTGATGTGGCTGTGTCATTGTATAATGCTGATTTTAAGTCCTTTAGGTATATAGTGTGGAGTGGGATAACAGGGCCAAATGCTAGTTCCATTCCAATTTTTCTGAGGAATGCAAAAACATTTTAAAAGTCAAAAATTTTAAAAATAGGGCTGTGCGTATAGCTCAGTGATACAGTGCTTGCCTAGCAAGCAAGCACAAGGCCCTAGGTTCAATTTCCAGCATTGCAAATAAACAAATAAATAGATAAAATTTAAAAATTAAAACCCCCAATTGTTGTCATTTCAAAAATGATCATTGAACTCATTGATGAAATTATAATGTAATTCAGGGAAGAAACAGTTCAATTGTCTAACAGCCTTCCAAGGAAGCAGCACTTTGTAAAGAATGGTATGTCTGTGTCCATTTTAGTGGCAAGTTAAGCTGCAATACAAATGAATGGGCTATCTTTGTTGCAAATGAGTTACCTACAGATGAAATATACCACTTTCTTACTAGCTTGGGGAAGAGATCAGCCTGCTTGCTAAGGAGAATGAATTGTTAGTGCTTGAGAAGTGGGGAAAACTCTGAAGGGTCCTGAATTCCAAATGCTTATCTGGTGCTTTGTGTACGTTTTGTTGAATTTAATTTTGTACTTTAAAACAGAAAACTTCCCCTTTAATAAATCAATACAGTTGACATTCTACTTAGTATTACACATATAATAAAATGATCTCAGGGGCTGGGGCTGGGGCTCAGTGGTAGTCAACTTGTCTGGCATGTGTGAGGCACTGAGTTCAGTTATCAGCGCTGCATATAAATAAATAAAATAAAGGTCTATCAACAACTGAAAGTAAATTAAAAAAAGAAAGAAAATGATCTTAGTCCTGATGTTCTGCCACAGAATGCACACACCATTGGAAAAATGATAAGAGAGTTCTTGAGTCTCTTAAGGAAAATAGAATGAGCAATAATGCAAGCATGAAGTGAGACAAAAGGAGATTCTCTGTTCTTTTAACACAGTTAATTTTTTGATATACTGATTTGCTAATCCCTGCTGCTGCTTCTATGTAAGAGAACATTAGTCATCTTGACCCATTGGGCTTTAATGATTTTGGTAATTGTCAATTCCATTTGCATTTTCCTTTTGGAGGCGGGACCAGAGACTGAACTCAGGGGCACTCAGCCTATTTCCAGCCCTAGTGTATTTTATTTAGAAACAGGGTCTCACTGAATTGCTTAGCACCTCACTCTTGCTGAGGTTGGCTTTGAACTTGCAATCCTCCTGCCTCAGCCCCCTGAGCCGCTGGGATTACACCACGCCCAGCTGCATCTTCCTTTTGACCATGCAATTGCACTCCAAGGATAGAGGAATTTTGCAGCAATGTCTAAAATTGAGCAGAAAAAGATTTATCTCATTTAAAACACTTGGGTAAACAGGGGAGAGAACAAAGAGTGTGCTAGTAATACTGGCCCCTGCTGCATGTCTGCATGTACTCTGGATGAGATTCATGGCTTATCAACAGTCATAGCTACTGTCTGTCATTGTTGCTGCTTCTTTCTCTTGGTCCCCTAGGCACCTAAACAACTTAACTAAGATGGAGTCCCTAGAAGGAAAAAGTTTATTTTTCTGTTTCCCCCAAATGGGTGGCCAGGCTGTATTGCTCCAATGCCAGTCTTCCATACATCACAACTGTCTGCTTGTCCTTGGCCAGCTGCTTAAGGTACACTGGGCATGCTATTAGGCATATTGGCTGAAATGATGAGAAATAAAATGCATCAATTAAATGACAATACATAAAAATATTTCCTTATAAATTCACAATACCGGAAATTAGCAAGTGTATGGCTTGTCTCAATTAATTTACCCCTAAAACTCTTCAAGAGCCTGAGGATGAAGGTGGCAGGTGATTTAAGTGGAAGACAGAACTTAGCTCTTAGCTAAGGTGCTCTGAGCCCCTCACCTTAGTTTGAGTGTGGTGCTGAATCCCAGTGCCAAGGGTGAATGGGTTGTCTTCTCCTTCTGGTCCTCTTATTTTGTGATTGTGTCTTGTCAACTGTCATTGTCTTCTTCCTCTGTGCCCCACTGCATCTGTTTTGTGCTTTTCCTGTGTCATTTTGCCTTTAGGGTAATTTTGGTTGTTTATGTTGGGCCTCAGCTACTATTAAGATTAAGTTTCTTGACAGTCAAAAATTTATTACTCAGGCTGGGGCTGTAGCTCAGTGGCAGAGAACTTGCCTAACCTGTGTGAGGCACTGGGTTGGATCCTCAGCTCCACATAAAAATAAATAAATAAAATAAAGTCATGCTGTCCATCTATAACTATAAAATTTTTAAATTATCACTCATATTTGTCTCTTTTACAACATATCAAAGCTCTGAGCACATACACATTTGCTGAGTATTTATTGACTGAATAATGGCAACTGATTGAATTATTATTTTTTTCTATTTTTTTTTTCTGATTGAATTATTAACTTACAGATTCTTACAGAGCCAGGTCTGCAATGGCCTGGAAGAGTTACCTGGTAGATGCTTACCAAGGATCTTTACTGTATTGTTTTAAAAATTATGTAGAATATAATTTTTTAAGCAAATTCCTTTAAAAAAATCAATGTATTTTTTAGTTGCTGATGAAACTTTATTTTATCTTATATATGATGCTAAGAATTAAACCCAGGCGGAGGTCCGGCTTCGAGGAGACGGAGGTGCGGCGTGGAGGGGGGCTCCTGGAGGTGGGGGTGATGTGGAAGCTCAGGGAGGCGACGAGGCCAGCCGCTGTCCGGTCCCGCCCGTAATCGGGTTCCAGGCGCCGGTGTCGTCGTGCGCGTGCCGCCATTCCCAGAGACCAGCTGTCCCTTGGCCGGGCAGGAGACGCCGCTCGCGCGAGTGGCCGCGGAGCATGGAAGCGGAAAACGCGGGCAGCTATTCCCTGGTAAAGTTCAAGCATTTTATTCATTTCCATTTCAACAAATGATGACTGAAGCTCCTGATGTGGCAGTCATGAAGGAACAGTAGATGCCAGGCGAAGTTCCAGCCCCAGAGCCTGCTCAGGAACCAGTACAAGAGGCTCCAAAAGGAAGGAAAAGAAAAGCCAGAACAACTGAACCAAAAAAACCAGAGGAACCCAAAAAACCTGCTGAGTCCAAGAAGTCTGGCAAGTCCCCAAAATCAAAAGAAAAGCAAGAAAAGATTACAGATGCGTTTAAAGTAAAAAGAAAAGTGGACCGTTTTAATGGGGTTTCCGAAGCTGAACTTTTGACCAAGACTCTCCCTGATATTTTGACCTTCAATCTGGACATTGTGATTATTGGCATCAACCCAGGACTAATGGCTGCTTACAAAGGGCATCATTATCCTGGACCTGGGAACCATTTTTGGAAGTGTCTGTTTATGTCAGGGCTGAGTGAGGTGCAGCTCAATCACATGGATGATCACACTTTACCAGGGAAGTATGGTATTGGATTTACCAACATGGTAGAATGGACGACGCCAAGCAGCAAGGATCTTTCCAGTAAAGAATTTCGTGAAGGAGGACGTATTCTAGTACAGAAATTACAGAAATATCAGCCATGAATAGCGGTGTTTAATGGAAAATGTATTTATGAAATTTTTAGTAAAGAAGTTTTTGGAGTAAAGGTTAAGAACTTGGAATTTGGGCTTCAACCCCATAAGATCCCAGATACAGAAACTCTCTGCTATGTTATGCCATCGTCCAGTGCAAGGTGTGCTCAGTTTCCTCCAGCCCAGGACAAAGTCCATTACTATATTAAGCTAAAGGATTTAAGAGACCAGTTGAAAGGCATTGAACGGAACGCAGACGTTCAGGAGGTGCAGTACATGTTTGATCTACAGATTGCCCAAGAGGATGCAAAGAAGATGGCAGTTAAGGAAGAAAAATATGACCCAGGCTATGAAGCAGCGTATGGAGGTCCTTACGCTGAGCATCTGGGCAACAGTGAGCCATGCAACTTCTCTGAGGACAGGCTAACAGCTGACAGTGCAGAGTTAAGAGGAGAATCAGCATTCAGTGACATTCCAAATGGGCAGTGGATGACCCAGTCGTTTACAGACCAGATTCCTTCCTTTAATAATCACTGTGGAAAACTGGAGCAGGGGGAAGGGAACCCTGCTTAAGAGTGGTGATTCTGGGCTCTGCCTACGTGCTGCAGTTTAATGCAGTTGTCAAGAAGTCAAACCTCGGTTTGCTAGCCGAGATATTTTCTCAGTACTTTACTTTAGTGTGTAATTATAGTACAGAACAGTTGTGTGGTAGAATCAACTGTATGAACCTAAGTAGTTTGGAAAAAGTAGGGGTTTTGTATGAGTTTTTGTATGTGAATTAACCATCATTCCAGCTTTTTATATACTTTATTTCATTTATGAAGAAATCAGTTTTCTTCTAGAAGTTGCTTTTGATCTGCAATTTTAAAATGCAACTGTCAAATATGTGTATTTTATTCTTAACTGTGCAAGACCTTGGCATGCCATTCTCCCTTGATGCCTAAGAAGGGCATCCTAATAATGAGTTACCACTGGTATAGAGGCAGCTGCATTGCTTTTCACACAGGAAGCTAGTGCTCAGGGGAGCCCTATTTGCTGGATTTTGGTGTAACAAAGGCTGGACTCGGAGCTCCCCAAGTTGTGTGCACACTCAGACCTCATTCCCTCGCCAATGGTAAGTGTGTGGGAAAGTTGCTTTGTGGGAGAACAGCATGACCACACAGTAGCAGGGCTGACCTGGCCTGACCTGACAGGCATTGAGCCCTGCCTTTGGCCGCCTCAACTCCTGTGTTTATCTCCTGGTGGGCAGACCTGTTCTGCTGAGCTGGGAGGTTCCAGAGAATGCAGTAGGCCTTTTATATTTTGTCATTCATCTACATTTTACTTGAGAGGCAGAAATTTGATAGGGCAGGAACTAAATTTTTCTGTCAGTATTTATGACCTTTCTAATTTTATCCTCCTTGGTTTTAAGGGTATAACATAGAAATGTTATAAGAAATGAAGTTTCAGGCTGAGCAACAGGATGCTAGAGGTGTTGGATAACCCTATTTAAACTGGTGCTTTGTGTACATGAGATGTACTAAAATTTTGCTTGCTAGGTAACTCTAATAAGCCAATAATTAAAAAAAAAATCTGTGCATCATTGTTTATTACCAGGACTAAGTGAACCTCCTGGAAAGAATGGTTTGAATTAAGTCCCTTTGTGATTTTCTAATGCATTTTTCATGGTGCTACAAGTAGTCCAGACTCTTAGGTCTGGTGGGTGTTAAGGCTGGGTATTCACTCCTAATCACTCTTGAATATTCAGATTTTATACGTACCCAGGGAGCATGCTGTTTTTGCAATATTTTAAATATCTTTGAGGGTTTTTTTGTTACCCCCAGGATGTTATATAGCCTGTTCTTCTATTTATAATAAGAGAAACAGATTCTTGTTGTGAGTCTTAACATGCTTTTTAGCTGTGGCAATGATGTATTTTATTTTTTCTTAAGTCTAGGTCAAGCTGTGTGGAAGTCATTCATGTTATTTAAATGATGTACTGTACTGCTGTTTACATCGACATTTTGTGCGGGTGCTTTGAAGTGCCTTGCATCAGGGATTAGGAGCAACTGAATTATTTTTTCATGGGACTATGTATAGCATGTAACCAGGTCATAACTATTGTAGCTTTACAATAGAGTTCCTTATTTGAGTGAAGAAAATACCCTTTAAATTATGACAGACTAATAGAGAATGGGTTTGAGGATTTTCCAAGTAAACAATCATGTTTTTCATTAAACTTGACTGAAGAGTAGTAAATGTTGATATATCCTGTACCTGATAGTATGAGACTTTTTCATTAAATAAGATTGAAAGATTTTTAAATTCATTTGAAAGTGATGGTTTTTACAATAAATAATACTAAGAATGGTTTAAAAAAAAAAAAAAGAATTAAACCCAGTGCCTCACACCTTCTAAGCAAGTGCTCTACGGCTGAGACAGAACCCCAACCCAGCCCTGCTTTTTTGTTTTAATTGATGATGTTTACATCCATAGCAAGTTTTACTTTTTTTTTTTTTCCTTTTGGTGGTGCTGGGGATTGAACCCAGGGCCTTGTGCATGTGAAGCAGGCAGTCTACCAACTGACCTATATCCCCAGGCCCATAGAATGATTTTTAAAAAGCTGTATTTATCCATCAAATCTACCTTATTTTATTTTTTGTCATACTCAGGTTTGAACTATGGCATGGCACATGCTAGGAAACACTCTTCCTCTGAGTTGCATCTTCAGCCCTACTTCATTCTTTGGACAAAGGACATGCATATAAGGATATTTTAGAATTTTTAAAATGACCAAGCACATCCCAAGATACTTATTATTTGAATAGAATTTATTGTCTGTACAAGTCTTGGAGCTTCCAATTTCATTGAAAAGAAATACTGATGAAGTCTAAATCAATCACAGTAAGACAAAAATGAAGGTAAGTTTGTCACATGGAGTCATTAGGATGGTTTCAAACTAGCCCTTTTTTCCTTTTTTCTATTTTTGAAAATGATGTTCAGTTAATCTATATAGCCTTTTACATAGATAAACTAAAAGCACATTGTAAAAGCTATACCTTTAGTCATTAACTACTGAAATCAAACTCTGATAGTTTTTTTTAAAATATGTTTTTAGTTATACATGGACACAGTATATTTATTGTATTTATTTATTTCCTTTGTGGTGCTGAGGATTGAACCCTGTGTTTCACATGTGCGAGGGAAGCGCTCTGCCACTGAGCATAACCGCAGCCCTCAAACTCTGCTAGTTTTGATTGTTCATATCAATAAGCCCTTACTCCACTGGGTCACCATATCCCTCTGTTGGAAAAAAAAAAAAAGAAAGGTGTTAGGAAGAGGAAAGAAAGAAGGGATGTGACAGCTCATGCTGAGAAGGACCCCTTCTGTCCATTCACCTGTCCATTTAGAGCACAGGTAACTCTAAAATGTGTCCCAGACCCCCTGGATTATTTTTACCTATGATACCCAATTATCAAGAGTCCCATAAAACCGTGTCAGCTAAACCAAATAAAATAAACCAAGGGTGAAAAAAAATTGAGAACATTTGGAAAATTACACAAAAAAAGTTAATAAAAGGGTAGAGATCATTCAGTCATATTTGAATTAAATTCTATAGTCATATAATATATTAAATAAGAAGTATTGGTTCTCTGATTACCATGTGTTTCTAACATTATCTAGATCTTGAGGCCAGATATGAGTGCTCAAATGATCTGGCGCTGTGCATTGCCGTATGTGAAATGAAAATATTTCTAACAAATATATCACGGAATGTAACTGATTCAGCTACTTACAGTGGAATTTGAATTCTGGAATTATCAAAGAAATCATCAATTTCTTTGTTATTAAAAAGGACTGAGTTGTACAAAATAAGTGTATTGTCTATTATTTATGACTCAGGTCTAAGATTTTTTTTGGAAAATGAATAAAATCTTTATGTAACCATTAATCTGACATCTGGTGTTTTACAATACCAAATAAGAAAGTGTTGACATTTTATAATTTGTTGCTGATACAAACCCATAAAATGAAATGTCATCTTCTAATTATTTATTGATACCAACCTATCACAATTCCTACACTAACTTTTAAATGTGCTGTATTTAATTTTCCGGTACCATCAATCTCCCCGCAGCATAACTCAGGTGACTCAACATAATCTTCAGATTAAACAGTGCCTCCTGTCATTCTATGAACACTCTATGTTCCAATAAGGTTGAAAAATGTGTGAATAAGTTCAGTTGCAATCACTAAGACAGGCTTCTGATTAAGGGCTGTTAGAGTAACCACCATCCTTTGAAATGAGGGAAATTTTTATTCTATAAGTTTACATTTGGAATAACCATTTGGTGAAGAAAAATCACTCTTCATTAAAGTTGGCAAACATGAGAAATGGCTGATATAACCACTTCCTAATTTATTCATTTGTTTAATTCTTTTTTTTGGTACCAGGAATTGAACTCAGGGGTGCTTAACAATTGAATCACCTCCCCAGCCCTTTCTTAATATTTATCTAGAGACAGGGACTCACTGAGTTACTTAGAGCCCCGCTAAATTGCTGAGGCTGGCTTTGAACTCACATTCCTCCTGCCTCAGCCTCCTGAGCCATTGAGATTACAGGCATGTGCCATGGCATCTGGATATTCATGGCATCTTGTTTATTCTTCAAAAAATATTGATACTACTGTGTGCCACCCACTTGCCAACTGCAGATACAAAAGTACAAAGTAGACATGGTCTCTGCCTCAAGGCATTTGCATTGGAATTAAGTCAGTCATGTGTTGCCACATGCACTTTATAAAAATTTTTTGATCTCTTTATTCTTTATTTATTCTTTTTAGTTATACATGACAGTAGCATGTATTTTGACATATTATACATATGTGGAGTATAACTTCTCATTTTATGATTGTATGTAATGTGGAGTTACACGGTCATGTGTTCATATATGAACGTATGAAAGTTATGTCTAACTCATTCTACTGTCTTTCCCATTCCCATCCCTCCTCTCTTTCCCCCATTCTTCCCTGTCCAATGCAGTAAACCTCCAGCCCTTCCCTCATTCTCCCACTTATTGTGAGTCAGCATCCACATATCAGAGACAATATTTGGTTTTTGGAATTGGTTTATTTCCTTTAGCATTCTACAGAGCCATCCATTTACTGTCAAATGCCATAATTTCATTCTTCTTTGTGGCTGAGTAATATTACATTGTGTATATATATCACATTTTCTTTATTCTTTCATCTGTTTTTACTTTATTTGTTCTATTTAGTTATACTTGACAGTAGAACACATTTTGACACATCATGTATTAAGGGAGAACTCCTCCTTCTTCTGTTCGTACACAATATAGAATCACACTGGTCGTGTAATTGTATATGAACATAGGGCAATAATGTCTAATTCATTCTACTACCATTTCTACTCCCATATTCCCTCTTCTCCCTTCACTCTCCTCTGTCTAACCTCAATTACATCTGATCTTCCCTAGCCCCCACCCCCTTATTGTGAATTAGCATCCACATATCAGAGAAAACATTTGGCCTTTGGTTTGTTTTTTTTTTTTTTAAACTGGCTTATTTCCCTTAGCATGATAGGCTACAGAGCCATCCATTTACTGGCAAATGCCATAATTTCATTCTTCTTTAAGGCTGAGTAATATTCTACTGTGTATATATACCACATTTTCTTTATCCATTCATCTGTTGAAGGACATCTAGGTTGGTTCCTCAGTTTGGCTATTATGAATTGAGCTGTTATAAACATTGATGTGGCTGTATTACTGTAGCATACTGATTTTAAGTACTTTGGATATATAATGAGGAGTAGGATAGATGGGTCAAATGGTGGTTCCATTTCAAGTTTTCTGAGAAATCTCCATACTGCTTTGCATTATGGTTGCACCAATTTGCATTCCCACCAGCAATGAATGAGTGTACCTTTTCCCCTACATCCTCACCATTATTTATTATTGCTTATATTCTTAATAATTGCCATTCTGACTGGAGTGAGATGAAATCTTAGTTTTGATTTGCATTTCTCTAACTGCTGGAGATGGTGAACACTTTTTCTTATATTTTTTGATCGATTGTATTTTTTCTTCTGTGAATCATCTGGTTCCATTCCTTAGCCCGTTTGTTGATTGGGTTATTTGTGTGTTTTTTGATGTTAAGTTTTTTGAGTTCTTTATATATCCTGGTGATTTTTGTTCTATCTGAGGTGCATGTGGTAAAGATTTTCTTTAATTCTGTGGGCTTTCTCTTCATGTTATTGATTGTTTCCTTTGCTGAGAAGAAGTTTTTTTGTTTGAATCCATCACATTTATTAATTCTTGATTTTACTTCTTAACACTTTAGGATTCTTGTTAAGGAAGTCAGTTCCTAAGCCAACAAGGTGAAGATGTGGGCCTACTTTTTCTTCTAGTAGGTTCAGGGTCTAATAGAAATAGAAAATAAATAGGAAATTTTAAAGACATCAACAAATTTCTAGAGACATGTGACCTATTCAAATTGA